AATAGTGACATAATCCAAACGCAATTGCAAATCTTGCATTACCGTATGGGTTTTCACTTTCACGAACGCATAGTGACTGTCAAATTTCAAATGGAAAAGCAAAGTCCATTTGCAACTAGATTTCCCGTGCCTTTCGAGTTATGAACCTGTCATATATAAATAGAAATATTAATTACCACGTCTGCTTTTTCACTCTCTCTCGGAAGTGACGTCACTCACATACAACTGTGCCGAATGCTTTGAACAATGGAGGTAATCGGTCTGCTATGCAACATAATTTCACAAAGCAAAATTCAGACCTTTCTGTTTTTGCTTCAAATGTTGAAATGATACAATCAAATTTAAATCAGAAACTGCTCGTGCAATTTTTTTATTATTAAATATGCATAGGTGGTAAAAAATATTTACGACCGGTCAATTTTCTCAAGTCGCAAAAAGTTAGTTTTATGCCCCGTCAGTAACCTTAAATACTTGTAATTTTTTAGATTCTAATGAAACCAACTGTTGCTTACTGCGCTTGCTTTCTGAAAATGGCGAAAATCGGTCGCGCTGATTCTCCTTGTTTTCTTTGTTGGCATTCTGCTGTTTGCAAGCCACTTCTAGGTCATTAGTGCTGGCATGAACTGGAGCGCCAGCAGCCATCTTCTTCAGATAGGATGCCGGGGCCCAGCCTTCTATTCCTTGGTATCTATGGGGGTGAAGGGGACAATGCTCTAAGAAAATGCCTGTTAAGTACTTTTTCTGAGGACAATTGCATTTGATTTTACCTGATCTTCCACCAGCCTTCCAAGTTTTTCTGAATGACCTCAACAGTCATGCCTCTTTCCAAATCAATCTCATCTTGATCACGTGCAGCGTATGGATAGACTGCAGTGTACTTTTCCTCTGAGGATATGAAAGGGATATTTGAACTTTTAGTTAACAGCGCCATTCATGAATAACATCTAACCACTACAGCCCATTTACCAGTTCCGTTTTCTTTATTTTGCACAAAAACATATACAAATACAATAATGTTCCACTAAAACTTGACAACCAGAAAGTGTCCAAATACTTTTTTTCTTCATTTGCTTGAAAAAATTTTTTCTTCCTTTAAATAAAATAATCTAGTGCAATTACATTTTTAGAAGATTCATTTATCTTTCATTGTTTTGCCAAAATAGTTGAAAACATGCAGTGGTAAATTTGATATAGTGGAAAAAGCTTCACTTTTTACATTTGTACTTCGATTTTATAGTAAATGACTGCTTGTAATCTGCATTTCCTCTTTCTGTTTGGGTTTTTTGATGAATAGCAGATGAAGGAGGGGTGGGGAGGATCTGATCAGAGACTCAAAAGTAATGACAGCATAAGTACATCTGCTGGGAAGAATGATAGATTTCACATGCTACCAACAAAATCACAATCTAAACATGAGTACACCAGGTTTGATAACTCTT